CCCGCCGCCGCCGCCGCCCAATCGCCCGGCTGGGGGAGCGGCGCGGGGCGGGGCTGGAGCTGCCAGGGCCGCCGCCGCCTGCGGCCGCCGCCGCCGCTGCTGCTGCCGGAGCCGGCGGGGAGAAGCAGCCATGGAACAAAAGAAGCGCTGAGGCGAGCGGGGGCCGCGGCGGCGGCGGCAGCAGCAGCCGCCTCGCCACCAGCGCCGCCCAGGCCGCTCCCGCCTCGCCTCGAGCCCCGCAGCAAGAGGAGGAGGAGGACGGGGACGAGGAGGCGGCCGCCGCCGCCGCAGAGACCGCCACAGCCGCCGCCGCCGCCGCCGCAGCAGCATGCCGCCCCGGGCCGAATAGCCGGAGCTCGCCGCCGCCGCCGCTGCCGCCGCCCTCCTCCCCGCCGCCTCCTGCCCCTCGGCCGGGCGCGGCCGAGCCCTCTTCGCCGGCCATGCCGAGCGGCAGCGCCTCCCCGTCGCCTCAGGAGGAGCCGCCCGAGCTGGCGGTGCTGCTGCCGAGGCCGCCGCCGGGCCTGCCGCTCCAGTACCCGCGCCGCGCGCCGCCGCAGGAGCCGCTGCCGCCGCCCGCGCTGCCCGACGCACGGCGGCTGAGGGAGCGCCTGGCCGGCCTGGGCCTGCTGGAGCGTGGCGGCGAGGCGGCGCCCCCCTCGCCGGAGCTCCATGCGGCGGCCGAGGAGGAGGACGGCGACGAGGAGGAGGAGGAGGAGGCGCCTGAGGAGGACGGCAGCGGCGGAGGAGGGGGCAGAGGCGGCGGCGACCTGGAGCTGGACTTGGAGGAGCCGCCTGAGGGGGACGGCGGCGGCGGCGAGGAGGAGGAGCCGCTGCAACCCGCCGGAGGCCCGGCCTCGCTCCTGCTGCTGTCGTCGCCCGCCTCGCCCCCGCTGCTGCCGCCCGGGCTCGGCTCGGTGCTGCTGTCGCCGCCGCCGCCGCTCCATGCCGCCGGCTCGGCCTTCGAAGCTCCGGAGGCGGCGGCGGTGGTGGGGCTGGGCGGGGCGCTGTACGGGCCCGGCGAAGATGTCCACCACGGGGTGATGGCGGCGATGCTTTCTCAGGCTTACGGGCCGCCCGGCGGCGGTGGAGCGGGCGGCGCGGCGGTGGCCGGGATGCCGCCCGGGCCGGGGCTGAACGGCGAGCAGGCGGCGCTGCTGCGGAGGAAGAGCGTCAACACCACGGAGTGCGTCCCGGTGCCCAGCTCCGAGCATGTGGCCGAGATCGTGGGCCGGCAGGGTGAGTGGCGCCGCGGGCGGGGGCCGGAGAAGGCCCGGCGTGCCTGGATCGGGAGGGGGGAAATGCGAGCACCGCTGCCCTCGGGGGGGGGGGGGGGGCCGCCGCGCGCCGGGGGGGGGGGAGTGGCGGGGGAGGGGGGGGGGGGGGTTGCAAGGGGGGGGGGGGGGGGGCGCGTGAAGCGGAATCGCCCGAGCCCGGCGGGAGCGCGGGGCGGCTGTCCCTGCGCAACTCGGGGGGGCGCTGCGGGGTGGGGGGGGATCAGGCCCGGGACTCTCTTCCAAGGAACTTGGGGAAAAGCTGTACAATGGGGTGTGGGACTGGCTCTTGCGGGATGTGCGAATAGCAACCTACAATAGGGGGAAGCTCGCGTAGTCGTGCAGCAGAGGCGTTGGTGCCCCCCCTCCCGCGGAGACTTCCCCAGTCTGGTGCCCTCTTGGATGTTTGGGAGCGCAACTTCCCACATCAGGCCTGGATTGGTATTGTTGGAGTATCCTGAGGTTTATGGAGTGGAGATTCTGAAAGATGAGAAAATATCAGCAGTTTTTTCTTAAGGGTGGAATCTTCAAAGATAGACTGTATAGGAGCGTCCTCTGGTTTTGGAAGACAGTCCAAGGGATTTGATAGTTTATGCAGGAGGAGTCTGGGCATGTTCCACAAAGAGACTGAGTAGGTTTCAGGGACATCCTTGGACAATGGTTTAGTGATGCGGGTGGTATATATAGGATGGGATGGGGAGGGTCATATATAAAGTGTTGGGGCTATCTAGTGATTACTCCCAGTAAGAAGGGATGGTGGTAATTGTCAGATCAGAGACCTTTCAGGAAATGTAAATTCAGAGAAGATAAAATCAAGCACAATAAGATTTATTTGCCACTTGTTGAACCATGGGAATGTTACCATTCTTGCAGAGTTTGGATTTGGGACCATCTTATAAGATGAGGTCTAAATTGGGTGTTAGAAAGAGTTTTCTGAGTTACAGCAGCCAAATAGTAAAACAAATTATCTTGTGCTGGTATCTCTATTACTTGAGGTCAGGTGCGAGTTAGAAAATATTTGGGTTGGGCTAGCCATTGGATTTGAATCTGTGGGGCAGTTAGAAACAAGGATCTCTTGGGACAGAAAGCTAGAGTGATGTTGGAACTGAGGAAGTTGAGCAGGGAAGCCCTGAATTCACTCCCACTTTAACTGTGAGTAAGTCACCAGTTTGGCCTTTATAATAACAGAAATACAATGATGGAATTACTGCTCTCTGGAGCTATAATTATTATTATGTTCTCTGGAATTACTGGAAGGAAGGGTGAAATCAAAGCAAAATGTGATGTGGGACTTTACTGTTGTATTACCCTGGCTCTGTGATAGCTTTGAGTAGGATTTCTACTAAAGGAAAGCAATTGGGTGTGAGCCATGAGGGCCATTCCAATTCTATAGATCATTCAAGGAAAGATTTGAGCTTGTAATGCTGTGTGGCTACTTAATGCTGGCAAGGAAACGACTTCAGAAGATGTTGTTTTGTTACAGTAAGGAAAGCTATCAAGACAAAACCTGTGTGAAAAGCACCCGGGAAGCTATGAATGGTAAAAAAAAGTTCAAGATAGCAGAATTCTAGTGTAATGACAGATCTGATGTAATGTGAGGCATATAAACCATAATGATTTATTTCTAAGATTAGGATAAGCCTGAATCCACTGTGACTTCACTGGGTTGGAGGAAAGTGGCTGGCAGGGCAGAATGCAAGTAAAGATAAGTCACCACAATTGTGTTCCATTTTTTAAGAAGTAATAACAGTTTGATTAAACTTGGTGCATTTCCCTTGCTCCTGCCTGCCATGTAAAGTTCTCCTAAAGTTCAGATAAACACACAAGGGTTCAGTGAATGCCAGCGCTTTTCCCACTTCACATTCTCAGGCTAGATTGTGTGTTGCTTGCCAGCCATCCCCTCCTTTTACTGCCCCATCTGTCCTTTTTCATCTTGGAATACAATAGCCTGAAGTTGGTGGGAAGGCATGGGCACAACAAAGCACCATGCTGGTGTAATTTGTGAAGCATAAATAAAGAACAAAAGCAGGACATTCGAATGTGCAGAAACAAGGATAGATTTTAAAAGCTGTTTTAGTTCTTAAGATGAATTTTAAGCAGTCTCTTTTCAAATCTCATGTACATTTTAGAAACAAAATACTGTCTCTAATTATAACTGAAAATGAAACGTTTTCACCTCAGGCCAGTTGCTACCAGAAAGCTTGTATGCACCAATGTTAAGCAGCCAATTGACTTCTGAAGAGCTTCTCATGAGTGAAATTTTGCTACTGTGACTTTTAATTTCACACTTTCTGGTTTGTGCTAAAGAGACAAGAATAAAAGACAAAGAGTTTCACAGTAATCAGGCTTAAGAAGGGAATATGTTGTCTTAGCATTTGCCTGGCCTCTCATTCTCCAGTTCCAGCTTCTGCTTCTTGCTCTTGTTCCTGCCAGACAACCTCTTTTTGTAATCCTACTTTCTGTGATCAGGACATGGCTTATGATAGCATAAACCTAAGACATTGCTTCCTTGTGGATGGTATGGTCATTCTATACAAGCATGGCTATTAAGTTATTCAAAGTATTACAGCATGTACACTGTAAATGTTGGACTATAACCCAGGGGTTTTTTTTTTAGCTGATCAGGCCTTTGCCTTTTAACTGATGAATCAGTTTTTATAAATTCAAGTTCATTTTTGCATATTATTCTAACTAGCTTTGGAAATGTTGAAGGATGTGTAAAATTACTTAATATTCAATCAGCTGTGATCAAACCTCTCATTATTAGAAGGAAAGGAATGTTCATATTTTCTGTTTCTTTGTATATTACAATAATATATTAGAACCAGAATAACTTCAGAAATATTTCGTGTCTTTAATTTGAAGTTCCTTTAATTAAAGTTAGTCCCAACTGATAGAAATGCATCCCCACATACACAAACAAATTAAGCAAGTAACACCTTAGTTGAACTAGCAGTTTAAGATAGGAATATAATTTTAAAAGGTTAGGTGGCTGAACTTTCTACGTAAGATCAGATTACCATCAGAGATTGTCTACATGAAGTACTTACTTTAGGACCTTTTCTAATGTTGCATCCCAGATGATGTGGGACTACAAACCGTAATCATCCCTGTCCTTTGGCCTATCTGCTGATGAACACTGTAGTTCAGCAACATCTGAGGACCCAAAGTGTGGAGAAGTTACCTAGAAATAACCCTCAGTGTGGCAAATTAAACAATTTCCCTTGCGCACATATGCCCATACCTCATGTTGATAGAGGGCAGGCATACCTCCATGGCTCAATCTTTTAACACTGTTAGTTTCCCACAGCCAATGGGTGTCACCCAAATTAATGTGGTTGATTTTTTGACAAAATCTGGGGATCTCCATGTGAATGGCTGTGGGTGTCAAGAGAGGTGCATAAGGAGGGAAGGCAAGTTCTTCCCAAATGTTGGGAGGCCTGTTGGTTCAATCAGATCCATGATATTCACCTACTAAATAAATAAGTCGCCTAAATAAATAAATATTCGGTTGCTGGCAAATTTCAGAAGAATCTTCCTAGTTAGTGTAGAACTACCCATCATTTACAGGCACAATTTATTTTCCATCATTTACAAGCACAAGGTGGTAATTTCTAAATATACTTTATTATTAAATAATGTTTTTTGTTAGAGTCAGTAGGAGGTTGACTCTAACAAAATGTGTCTTAAAGAGCTAACTCTTCCATCCTTTCTTACCAGGCAAGTAAGAAGGATTCAAAGAGCTATTTCTTTGGTATATATTTTGTAAAAGTTTTGCCAGTCTCTTGCTTTGTATCTGCTTATTCATGATGAAAAGGGTGCCCCCGCAGCTCCCCGATTTATGTGTTTTTCCTCTCTTAATTCTTATTTATAGTTGACTTGGAGATCATAAATCATACTAGGTAGGCAGAAAATTCTGGATCAAGTTATAAAGATAGATATACAAACTAAAACAAAAAAGAAACAGTGGTATGTTTCAGTTTTTTCTATTTAAGATGATCAGATATTAGAGAAATAAGGAATTGTTTGACTAGATGGAAATGAAGCTCAGGTTTACTTCAGAGTAGATATATAACAGGTTGTCCAGTAGCGGTTAAACTAATGTGTTTTGCAGCATATGAAGTTCCACTTAATGGAGTAGGCCCAGAAGTGACAGACATAGAAACTGACCTCAATGTATTGCCTCCTTTCTAAGCCTACTACATGAAGGGGCCCAACTACCTTTTCACACTGAGGTATAAACTGATACAGTAGCATGCTTCAACCAGGTGCTCTCCAGATGTTTTGTATAATCCCCAGCATACCTGACTGTTGGCCATGCTGGCTGGGGCTGATAGGAGTTTAAGTCCAAATCATCCAGTGGTCTATAGTACAGAATAAGTATGATATATGGTCTGTGCACAGGTATCTGGCAATACATGTTGTAGCAAGCTGTGAGAAATTCTGATGTTGAACAAAATACATTTTCTCTCAATGCATTTTCTTTTCTGACTCTTCTCAGGAAGCAGTATGAGACCTTCAGAAAGGACCAGACTATTGTATTTGCAAAAAATGGAGACCTGTTTTCTCCCCTCACCCTATTGTTGTAGTCTGCACCTGCTTTCTTTTATGTGTTTGATATTCCTAGAATTTGACTTGTGATGCCTGTACATAGTTGCCATAGCAAGGATCATGCATGTCATAATTAGATTTGTGACTGCAGGAAGAAAGACCTGTGGAAATCAATTCTTTTGTGTTAGAAGGCAGGAATCGGTTTTGAAGGATTGGAGAGGAGAGGGGAATTTTAAATAAGTATTGCATCTGTACATTCCTGAAATTACATGGTGCTGTTTGCACCCAGAGAGCAAAAGCTGGGCAGTTGAAATGGCAGGGAGATCCTATTCAAGATCTACTGCTTCTCATTAGATGCTACCATGGTGGAATCTTCCTCTTTTAATACATCTGAAAAGTGCTGGGCAGTGTACA